ATTTCCCAACCCAGAGCTGGCGACCCTAATTACCCTGGAGGATATGGCTGCTTTGGAGGGTGGACTCTATGGCATTATACCTCCACTGAGGTCCTCTAGTGCAGTTTCATTAGGGTTGCCAGCTCTGGGTTGGAGAATACCTGGAGACTTTGGGGGTGGATCTGGGAGAGGGCGGGGTCTGGGGAGGGGAGGGACTTCAATGGGGTGCAATGCCCTAGAGCCCACCCTTCAGAGCAGCCGTCTTCTCCAGGGGAGCTGATCTCTGTGCGTTGGAGATAAGTTGTAAAAGTGGGGGAACTCCAGGCCTCACCTGGAGGCTAGCAAACCTAAGATCCATCCCAAAATCTCCAGGAATTTCCCAACCCAGAGTTGCAGCCTTGGGAAATTCCTGGAGATTTACGGGTGTTCTAGTATCTCCTCCCTCCAGATCCTCATGCCTTCCCTTCCCTTTCACCATTCCTCCCTTCCTTCCCCACCCACTCCCCTTCCCCAAAGGATAAATTCCAGATTCTGGAGTTTGGAAGCGGAATGAATTGTATTAAGGTAAGGGCAGGGGTCATTTCCTGCAGGAGCGCACGGGAGCGGAGCTCCGGCAGTAAAGAGCCCAGGGGGCGGGCACATGCAACAAGCCCCGCCCCCTGCTCCCAGCAGCCCTCAGTCGGAGCAAGAAGCAGCCAGGTAAGCTGGTCCAAAACAGTCTAGTGGCACCTTTAAGGCCAAGGTTTATTCAGGTACAAGCTCTCCCTCCTCTGTGAGGACAGATCTGCACGCCCCACGCCCCCCCAGTAGCTAGTGATCCAAAACAGTCCAGTGGAGCCTGAGCGGTGGGTGTTGCCTTCTGACACACTTCCGGTGATGTCAGGGGGTGTGGCATATGCAAATAAGTCATGCTAATGAGTTGTGCTAATGAGCTCCTGCACCTCTTTTTCTACGAAATGACCCTTGGGTAAGGGTACTTGCAAATTAGCATCATTTATTCAATACCCCTGCAGTATTTACACTGGGAATTGTTATTTCCCCATATTTAATATACAAGACTGATCACTATGTAATACGAGATCTATAGGTGGGTCGTTGCAGGCATATCTCTCTGCCGTCTCAAACCAGATCTTCTCCACGGCTTCCTGGCCCACCTCAAGAAGCTTCGCCAAGCGCTTCCATCCCGTTTTGGCCGTGATCATCAGGTACTCTTCATTCTCGGGCTGCAGCCGAATGGTGTGTGCGGACATCACGAGAGACTGAGCAAACCTTCCGCTCACAAGGAGGAGGAGGGCATCTCGCTCCTCGGCGGTCAAGGGAACGATGCTTTCGAACCCTGCAAGGACGTGCCCTCCGACGCCGAGCGGATCCTGGCTCTCAATCATCATGTACATGATGGTGATTGCCACTTCGAATACATAACAGCCGTAGCTCATGTCGAAGTCCAAGATACCCGACACTCTGTAGCGCGGACTTTCAGGGGAAGCAGAATCGGTATCCAGTAAGATGTTGTGGTCATTGAGGTCCCCATGGTTGATACCTAAATGCAGAGCAAAAAAACCCTGAAATGTCTAACACAGGGGTCGTTTGGTAGAAAAAGAGCTAGGGGAACACATTAGCATAACTCATTAGCATATGCCACACTGCCTGACATCACTGGAAGTGTGTCATAAGGCCACACTCCCTGACATCACCGGAAGTGTTTCATAAGGCCACCCACCCTGCCCCCAACGGTCCCGGCCGCCGCCATCAGCCTTGCAGCTCCACTGCCGAGCCCCATGAGGGGCCCGGCGGTGGACCTGCAAGGCCAGCGGGAGTGCAAGGAAGCCCCGCGAAGGCCCTCCCTGGCCCCAGGCAGGCAGGGGTGGGGAGAGGCAGGGAGGAAGCAACTTACCCTCCCTCTTCTCCTGCCTCCTCCTGGCTGAATGAGGGCCAGAAGCAGGGCTGCCGGAAGCAGGGGGCGGGGCTTCGTCAGGGGTGTGAAGGGCAAGGTATAAATCCAATCTCTTTTTCTCTTCTTCTACTGCAGACCAATACAGCTACCCTCTGGAACTATCTTGGTTTTATATTATGTCTCTACCTTCCTGGTGCTATATTATGTCTCTACCTTCCTGGTGCTATATTATGTCTCTACCTTCCTGGTGCTATATTATGTCTCTACCTTCCTGGTGCTATATTATGTCTCTACCTTCCTGGTGCTATATTATGTCTCTACCTTCCTGGTGCTATATTATGTCTCTACCTTCCTGGTGCTATATTATGTCTCTACCTTCCTGGTGCTATATTATGTCTCTACCTTCCTGGTGCTATATTATGTCTCTACCTTCCTGGTGCTATATTATGTCTCTACCTTCCTGGTGCTATATTATGTCTCTACCTTCCTGGTGCTATATTATGTCTCTACCTTCCTGGTGCTATATTATGTCTCTACCTTCCTGGTGCTATATTATGTCTCTACCTTCCTGGTGCTATATTATGTCTCTACCTTCCTGGTGCTATATTATGTCTCTACCTTCCTGGTGCTATATTATGTCTCTACCTTCCTGGTGCTATATTATGTCTCTACCTTCCTGGTGCTATATTATGTCTCTACCTTCCTGGTGCTATAAGCCCCTTTGGGTCCCCATGGGTAGAAAAGCAGGATATATATACATTAATCTGGACCCATATACACAAGAGCAGTTAGGGCTGCCGCTGGTGCCTGTTTAAGCTCTCTGCAAACACACACACACGTACAATCAAGCAAAAGAAAAAGCACTTCTAGGATGCTTAAAGCAACACAATTGTCAATACTCACAGGGCCGGAAACTGCTTAGCTTTGGCACGACTTTAAGCTTGAATTGTTGGATAACCCATTTCACCATTTCCAGATCTCTTTTCTGGGCCAGCGCCGGAAGGTACTGTTCCAGGAGAGGAACGTTGGCCAGGTTCCATATGAAGTTGCCTCGGTGCAGATGTTTTATTAAAGGATTATGGAATTTCTGCAGGGGGGGAAATATTAACATACCCAGTTGTATTTTTTAACTATCAATGTCACTGCTGACCGAGGCAGCGTAGCGCAATGGCTGGAGTGTCGTGGTAGGACTGGAGAGGCCCCAGTTCAAATCCTCGCTCTGTACTCGATGACCTCGGACCGGTTGCTCTCTCTTTCTCAGCCTCTTCTACCTCACGGGGTAGTTGTGAGGATCAGATGGAGGAGGGGAGAACACCCTTGAGCAGGGGCCAGAAAATTGTGGCTGGTGGAGCACTGGGGAAACTTGGGGGGGGGGGCACGTGCCCTGGCCGCACTTCCTGCTCCTCTTGCAGGAGCCAAAAACGAGAGATCACAGGAGGAGGTGGAAATTCAAACACAGTTCTCCAGTTAAAAGGACCAGGCAGGAGGTGATGGGAAAGACCTTGATCTGGAGCTCTGGTCCAGTGGTAGAGCATCTGCTTGGCATGCAGAAGGTCCCAGGTTCAATCCCCGACATCTCCAGTTCAGCGGACCAGGCGGTAGGTGATGTGAAAGGCCTCAGCCTGAGTCCCTGGATCATTGGTCCAAAGGACCAGGCGGGAGGTCATGGGAAAGACCTTGATCTGGGACCCTGGCTCAGTGGAAGAGCATCTGCTTGGCATGAGGAAGGTCCCAGGTTCAATCCCCGGCATCTCCAGTTAAAAGGGCCAGGCAGGAGGTGATGGGAAAGACCTTGACCTGAGACCCTGGCTCAGTGGGAGAGCCTCTGCTCGGCAGGCAGAAGGTCCCAGGTTCAATCACCAGCATCTCCCGTTAAAAGGACCAGGCAGCAGGGGATGGGAAAGACCTTGGCCTGAGACCCTGGCCCAGTGGTAAAGCATCTGCTTGGCATGCAGAAGGCCCCAGGTTCCATCCCTGGCATCTCCAGTTCAAAGGACCAGGCAGGAGGGGATGGGAAAGACCTGAGCCTGAGACCCTGTAGAGCCGCTGCCAGTCTGAGTAGACAATACCGACTCTGATGGACCAAGGGGTCTGATTCAGTAGAAGGCAGCTTCGTATGTTCATGTGAAAAGACAATAGCATTATCTAATTCCCCAAATGAAGGATACGTTGAAGGGCAGTTTTGATCTTGTCAGATCTACTGATGGACGTGCGTGTCTTTCATCCAGGGGTGGGGGGAAAGTATGGCCTTGTGAGTCACGTAAAATAAGAAAACCCCACCTCGTCGTGAGGATGGAGTTTGCTCTTGGAGGGCAGCTAAGAAACATCTAGAGGAACAGAGGAAGGGGAGAAACCAGCCTGTTCAAACGCCTGTTGACTCCTACAGGGAGAATGGTGGTGAGTTAAGGTTTGGTAAGGTTAAGGTTAAGCGCCGGACTCAGAATAACGGCGCGTTCCCCTCAATGTAGGGTCCCGGTTGCCAGGTCTCCCCAGGCCGCTGGTAGGGGATGAACGTAAGAACATCAGAGAAGCCATGTTGGATCAGGCCAATGGTCCATCCAGTCCAACACTCTGGGTCACACAGTGGTCCAAACCCAGAGGACATCGGGAGGTCCACCAGCGGGGCCAGAACTCCAGACGTCCTCCTACTATGGTCCCTGCAAGCACCAAGATTATAGAGAACATAAGAACATCAGAGAAGCCATGTTGGATCAGGCCAATGGTCCATCCAGTCCAACACTCTGGGTCACACAGTGGTCCAAACCCAGAGGACATCGGGAGGTCCACCAGCGGGGCCAGAACTCCAGACGTCCTCCTACTATGGTCCCTGCAAGCACCAAGATTATAGAGAACATAAGAACATCAGAGAAGCCATGTTGGATCAGGCCAATGGTCCATCCAGTCCAACACTCTGGGTCACACAGTGGTCCAAACCCAGAGGACATCGGGAGGTCCACCAGCGGGGCCAGAACTCCAGACGTCCTCCTACTATGGTCCCTGCAAGCACCAATCTGGTGCCTCTCTTCGAGAAACTCCCCAAGTTTCAAAAAGATTGGACTGGGAGGGACAATTCTATGAGCCCCAAATAAGGTTGCCAGATCCAGGTTGGGAAACCCCTGGAGCTTTGGGTGTGGAGCCTGGGGAGGACAGGGACCTCAGTAGGACACGACGCCACGGAGTCCGCCCTCCAACACATCAATTTTCCTCCAGGGGGACTGATCTGTGTTAGTCTAGAGAGGAGCTGTAATTCTGGGGGGGTCCCCAGGTCCCTCCTGGAGACCGGCCAGCCCTACCGCAGCGCCAGCTCGAAGCCTCACCTCTGCAAGCGTTTTGTCCAGCTTGGCAGCTAGCTGTCCAACCTCATACAGAATGGGAGGACTCACGGGGACGGTGGCCACCGCTTGGCCCGGCAGGAAGGTCAAGAGCCTCACCAAATAGCCTTGGGTGGCTGAGCCAACATCTAAAAGGCAACGAGAGGGGTGTACGTCACTCGTTAGGAAGAAGGAATGGCCTCCTCTTGCACACAGCATTCTGATTTGGAAAACACTGCTCTCGAGGGTTTCAGGTGGCTAGCCCGGTTGCCACGGACGCCCCGGCCCGACTCGGGATATACCTGGAGACTTTGGGGGTGGAGCCGGGAGACGTTGCGGGTGGGGCCCAGGAGACAGGATGTGACATCACTCGGGGAGAGTGGAGGGAAGAAGCAGGACTGAACTCCAAAGGGAGTTCTGGCTGTCACATTCAAAAGGACCGCATTTGCTTTTAAATGCCCTTCCCTCCATTGGAAATAATGGAGGATGAGGGCAGTGTTCCCTCTAAGCTGAGTTAGTGTGAGCTAGCTCACTGTTTCTTAGCCTCCAGCTCACATATTTTTGTCCTAGCTCAGGAAGAATGGCTCCAGAGCAAGCTAATTTATGCAGTAGCCAAACTGCTGGCTCACAACTTTAATGCCAGTAGCTGACAAAGTAGAATTTTTGCTCACAGGACTCCACAGCTTAGAGGGAACATTGGATGGGGGGGCACCTTATTTGGGGCTCATAGAATTGGAACCCCTGGTCCAATCTTTTTGAAACTTGGGGGGTTTCCCGAAGAGAGGCACCAGATGCTATGCTGAAAATTTGATGCCTCTATCTCAAAAAACAGGCCCCCCTCAGAGCCCCAGATACCCACAGATTGTCTCCATTATACCCTATTGGGACTGGTCTCCATAAAGTATAATGGAGTGCCCACTGGGCATTTTCCCCACCTGCTTTCTGATAACCCTGAAGAGAGGAGAGGGCCTCCAAACCAGGGACTCTCCTGCCCACAACTGGGGATTGCCAATCCTACCAGTTGGTCTGCAGTAGAAGAGCTAGATTCGAGTCCAGAAGCTCTTCTGATGTTCTTATGAAGGCCTCGGCTTCTCTGCCCTGTTGTTCACCTTCCAGAGGAACTGTTTGGCCACTGTGTGAGACAGGATGCTGGACTAGATGGACCATTGGTCTGATCCAGCAGGGCTCTTCTAATGAACGCCTTGGCCTCTGTGCCCTGTTGTTGGCCCTCCAGAAGAACTGGTTGGCCACTGTGTGAGACAAGATGCTGGACTAGATGGACCGCTGGTTTGATCCAGCAGGACTCTTCTAATGAAAGCCTCGGCCTCTGTGCCCTGCTGTTGGCCCTCCAGAAGAACTGGTTGGCATGGCAGCTGTGTGAGACAAGATGCTGGACTAGATGGACCACTGGTCTTCTAATGAAGGCCTCAGCCTCCATGCCCTGTTGTTGGCCCTCCAGAGGAACTGGTTGGCCACTGTGTGAGACAGGATGCTGGACTAGATGGGCCACTGGTCTGATCCAGCAGGGCTCTTCTGGTATTCTTATGAAGGCCACAGCCTCCATGCCCTGCTGTTGGCCCTCTGGAGGAACTGGTTGGTCACTTTGTGAGACCGGATGCTGGATGAGATGGACCACTGGTCTGATCCAGCAGGGCTCTTCTGGTATTCTTATGAAGGCCACAGCCTCCATGCCCTGCTGTTGGCCCTCTGGAGGAACTGGTTGGTCACTTTGTGAGACAGGATGCTGGACTAGGTGGACCACTGGTCTGGTATGTGGATTATTTCTTTTAACCTATTTTATTTTTTACTAATGTGTACTCCCTAATAAATATTTTTATTTTTATGATAATTTACGTTGTCAGCGTGACCCTCATATATCACTGCCACTTCGGGGACCCCTGCCTCATGGTACTGAAATGGCAAATAACCACAGCCCAGTCCACGCTTCTTATAAGAGAATCAGGTCAGCTCTACTTTTGAGTCTCTTACCTATTGATTCGAGAAACATTATTTCACCCTTTTTGGTGACCCGCGGGGTGCCCACGGGAAAGCCTTCATTGCTCAGAAACTTCATGATCAGTGTCTGCACCTCAATGAGGCTGGGGTTTTGGCTGTCTTCAGAATTCGTGATTTTAAGGACATACTCCTCTTACCTATTGATTCGAGAAACATTATTTCACCCTTTTTGGTGACCCGCGGGGTGCCCCGCAACACTCCCACGCTGTGCTTTGTTGTCCCTTCTCCCAGGTTTCTTCAGTTCCCTGGACAGGGCTTGGGGGTGACACTCGGTGTTCTTCCTCTGCCCCCCCCCGCTACTTAATTTCCCACAGGCCTCTATCCGAGAGGTTCTGAATCACAAAACCAAATGTGCCCCTGGGCTCCTTCTGAGGCCATCAATCTCACTTAGGTTGCCAGTGTACACCACTCCCTGCAGGAACTCTCTAACTGGGATTGCCCTCCTATTAATCTAACGCCATCCCAGCTTCCCTCCGCATTAGGCTCCTGCCAGTTAGCCTGGTAAAAAAAATACTTAGTATCTGAGTCAACACCAGCAAGCCAGATGCTAATCGGCCGTGCTTGCGAACATTCCCCTTCCCTGGCTTGAGAATCCCGGTCTTTTGCCTGCCTCTGGATAACACAAGCACAAGTTTCAGTGTCAACTGCAGTCTGTGATACCTCAGACCAATGCTCTCTCTAAGCTGTAGAGTCTTGTGAGCAAAAATTCTACTTTGTGAGCTACTGGAATTTGGCTACGTGTATAAATTAGTTTGTTGTGGAGCCATCCTTCCTGAACTAAGACAAAAATGTGTGGCTGGAGGCTAGAAAACTGTGAGCTAGCTCACACTAACTCAGTTTAGAGGGAACACTGTCCTAGACTGCTTTGGGCTGGTTGATGGTAGGACCAGGAAAGAAGAAGAAGAAGAAGAGATTGGATTTATACTCCGCCCTTCACTACCCAAAGGTGTCTCAGAGCAGTTTACAAACTTCTTTCCCTCCCCCTCCCCACAACGGACACCCTGTGAGGTAAGGCGGGGCTGAGAGAGCTCTGCTGAGAACTGCCCTTGAGAGAACAGCTCCGAGAGAACTTGTGACTGACCCAAGGACACACCAGCAGCTGCATGTGGAGGAGTGGGGACTCAAACCCGGTCCTCCCAGATTAGAGTCTGCGCACTTAACCACTGCACCAAACCGGCACTTAACCACTACACCAAACTAGAAAGCAAGATGACTTTAGAGAAGATTTTCTTCAAACGTTCATCACCCGAAAGACAGACAATTTGCAGGACAGAGAAAATTAAATTTTCAGAGAGCTGAAAGTGTGAAGGAGGGCGTGGATCGTCAAGCCCCGTTCACAATACCAAACCTGCAGTACCAAACCTCAATTAGGCAAGGATCTGTGTGCAAGAAATTCTACAGGCTTCACGCGCAAGAAATTTGACCGTTCGAAGCCTCTCGAATTTCTTGCGCGTGGATCTTTGTCTAACTGAGGTTTGGTACGGCAGGTCTCCTAAGTGATTTTCGTTGAAATCTGCGGTGCAATATACATTGTATTTCTATTCGCACTTGTGATCTATGACTATATGCTATATATTGTGAATGGAACTTCATGATACCTTTAGAAGTCACATCCGAGGATAGTCGTAAAATTCAATCACTGCGCTTTTTGTATTGTTTTTGCTTTCTCATGGCAGCTCCCTCCCCAAACTCCACCCACCAAATCTCCAGGAATCCCTCCAGCTAGAGCTGACAACCCTAGCCTGGACGTTCTCCCTGAATCCCACGTAAACAGCACACCACTCATAGAATCATAGAATGTTAGAGTTGGAAGGGACCTTGCAGGTCATCTAGTCCAACCCCCTGCACTCTGCAGGAGCATAGCTGAAAGACAGCCCTACATACCTACAACATACCCGAAAGATGGTCGTCCAGCCTCCGCTTGAAAACGTCCAGCGAAGGAGCATCCACCACCTCCCGAGGCAGTCCGTTCCACTGCTCAACTACTCTTACAGTTAGGACGTTTCTCCTGATATTTAGCCGGTAACGACTCCCTTGTAATTTCCACCCATTAGATCTAGTCTCGCAATCCGGAGCAAGAGAGAATAGATCCGCTCCATCTTCTACGTGACAGCCCTTCAAATACTTGAAGACTGCAAC